CACCCATGGCCAAGCAGACAAGTGGCCCCTCACACCCAGAGCGGCAACAAAATGGCGGCGGCGGCGAGCGCCACCTGGAGCGCCATGCTGCCGCCCCCAAGCCGGTTGGGCACCGCGGCCGAAGTGGGCCCGTTACACAAAGCGGTGTCGCAGCATCCGTCGCTCTCGGCACATTCTTTACAGCTCATCTCGGTCACATCGGCGCCCTCTGCAAGTCACCACAAACACAAGGGCATGACGGAGCGCACGCGCACATCGCGAGACAGCGGCGTCGTGGCCAAACTTACCGCTTTTCTTGTAACATTTTTGGCCTTCGGTACAAGTCTGTTGGGTGCATGTTGAAATGCCGCTCAGGCAAGTCTTACAAGCCGCTTTGTCGGCGCACTGGTAGCATTTGAGAGCTGCGCAAGCAAAGACGACAAAGATTGCGCACACTCGGCTTGACGTGACACTTTGAGGGGGCGGGCCGACGGCAGCAGTCGCGAGGTCAACAATTGAGGTGTAAAGATGAATTGCGGCAGTGTGCGTGGGGGAAACAGTCTTGCGATTATAGCGGTGTCTTTACTTTTTCACTCATCATGCCAACATGCTGACGTGTCGGGGTGAACGCCAGCAACGAGTGGGACGCTTTTGTGTTCCAAAGTCAAAGCTAATAATGACGTTGGCGACGCGGTTTCTTCCGTTTGGAAAATCGCTCACTTGGTTGCCAACGCCGGCCCAATGGCGAGCGACGTTTCTGAACGCTTTTCGAGGTCAGATCTGTCGAGTGAATCTTTCCGATTCAATCGTGCTCGCTGACTGTGTTCTTTCTTGCACGGAACGGTGAAATGAGTCATTTTCGTGCCGGCGCCCCGCTTCCGGGTTTGACCGCTGGGACATGTAGTCCTTTTGTTCGCTTCCCCTCGGTACGTTTCTGTTGGATGGTTTCTTCCGGACTACGAATTCTGAAGACGATCGTAATACGTCGCTGTCAAGTCATGGTTGATAAAATGAGTTCAATTGTCGTGAAGACGAAGGCATGACATGGATTGATATCAATGATATCCATTTAAATTGTGATGCCTGAAGATCGATTGATTTATTTTGGTTGCATTGATGCGTACGAGAGGTTCTTACCTGGTTTTGCATTCTCCGGGGTTGCGGCATCTTGGGCCGCTGCGTCTGTTACAAAGGGCTTCAATTAATGATCAAAAAGCTACAGGGCGAGTAATCCTTCCCTGCTGACTGACGATCCCTATCCAGAGGGCCGTGAAAAACGGGAATAACTGAACTCTTGGCTTGACTTGACACTTTGCAGGGCGGGCCGACGGCAGCAGTCGCGAGGTCAACAATTGATGTCGAAAGGTGAATCGCGCCGAAGAACGGCAGAGACCCGTGACACCAAACTGCCCCCGCTGGTCGACAATTTTGTTCTTTTGGTGCTCGTGCCCAATCGGCCCCCGATTTTTCACTCGTCATCGTGTCGCGGGTCACGGCAGCAACGAGTGGACGCTTTTTTGTTGCAGTGTCAAAGCTAATCATGACTGTTGGCGATGTTGACTCACCTGGCACGCTGAGCCGGACCATCAGGGAGCACAGCAGGAGGCCCAACCAAACTTTGCTGGTCATCCCGCCGCTTCTGGAGTCAGGAAAAGAACCGTGCGTCGCTTCTGCTCTCTGCCACCGTCGACTTGCGATATGACTGCCTATGGCTTGGCGTCTTCCTGCAGTCTTCGGCCAAACGTCATCATAGAGTCGTGAGTCCTTGTGATGCGGCGCTTTGCCTTTGCTTCTTCCCGCGGTCTTTGACAAAAACGTCATCATGGAGTACCGAGTCGTTGTCATCGTAAAGGGACAAACGCACCCTGATGCGTGGCGCCAAACAAAGGCGCTCTTTCGGTTGACTTCAACAAGTCGCGCAAAGGTCAACCCGACGCGAACCGCTTTTCTCTTCCGCGGACGTTTATTGGCGCTCGTTGGACTCAATGATGGGGACTGGGCCCAACTTCTTGGACTTGCCTTCAAGCAACTTCACTGACACAGCCTCTTTTTGGGAACGCGGGGACCAGAGCGCATAGTCATAGAAGAGTAGAACACACTAGCGTGGGTACCATTGCCACATTGATACTCTTCAGGATTTCAGATGGGTTGTCGACTGTGCTCCCAATAGTGCGTGTGTGTGTGTGTGTGT